TCGCGATGTCACGTTGTTGTCATGTGACATATCTTGACTTCCCCCCCTTCGTTAAACCACAGGTGGGCGTCGCCAGCACATGACACATCCAGGGCAGCGAGTTTGACACTCCTGATCTAGACCTAGGTAAAAAGAATTTGCAGTTTTTCACTGTAATTTTGAGTGTGGATGCCAAGAAAATTAAACAGTTAGTGTGCCCTCCAGTTAGTCCATGTCCTCCCTTGCCTGTTCAGATATCTAATGGCCCAAAGTACGTTTCAAGGTCTAACTAGCTTAAACCTTAACTTAAGTCTGACTCATACATTTGTAAGATGGGTCTTTTTTTAGCTGCCATCTTTCTGGCATAGGAGAGAGAACTTCCTTTTTTGCTCCCAGATTTCGGAATGCATTCTCTTGGAAGCTGGGTTTTCTCAGCATCCAGAATATATTTATTGACTGTTAATTTCTTTCTACTAAGGTAATAATGCCTTTTGCATATATTGTTCATTTTTTTAAATGGACTGGCTGCCTTTTCGGCTTTGCCTGAAAAGCAAGGGAGGGTATAAAAGAACTAAATAAATCCATTTATTATAGTGTCTCAGCCCAATTGTAGACGATTCACCTTTCTCCAAAAGTGATTCCATGCTCTGCAGAATTGAAGAAGGCCTTTTCCAGAGGACTCTTTTTCCAGAGAACTCCTGTAGAAAGAAAGGAAATAGTGGGAAACATTATTTCCATGAATACTTTTAAGTTCATTTAAATTATAGTTACGTTCCAACCTTTTGTTTGATCTGACCATCTGATATACTCTTATGCCATGGTGGTTGGAATTAATACTTTATGTGTAAGTGGTTAGTTCTTCAATAACTTAAAATGTTATCTTTTAACTTTTAAATAAAAATATCCTATTTTTATATTTCAGCTTAAGGAAAGTCTGGCAGAAGAGAAAGTGCACAGTCAGGAATGGCTATTTTACCATTTCACACAGTACAGTATGCATTTTACTTCCAGTATTGGGATGTTTCTCTTAAAACAAAACTCTCAACAAAGTGAAGCTATTGTTTATACTTTGGAGTTCCTCTATGTCTTTATTTTATGGAATAAATAAATTTATATACCTGAAAGAGCAGGTCTACAACTTGGGTCTTCCTGGACTCATGGATCAGCAGATGGAGGATGTGGCCAGTCAGGACCTTGCCCAGTTTTAGCTAATATATCATTTGCAGCGTTACTTGAGATCTGATTACAGTATTGACTTCTTTCCTCCTGGAACTGCTCAACCTAACACCAATTGCTTCTCCATTGGTCTTCTGCCCAGCCTTTCCCCAGAAACCCTTCCTTTCTCTTTTGAATCTTGGATGAATTACTGCCAGCTGGATTTCTCCTTCCCATTCTTAGATCTTGAGATGTCTCATCCCTTTAGGTCTTTATTTCCCTTCTTTGAGGGCTGCCACCTGTGGACCTTTCTTCCCCCTTTCCAACTAGGAAGTGACAATTCCTCTGCATACTCAACTTCTCTCTTCAACTTTTCTTTCCGGACCCTCTGTTCACTTCATGCACACACATTTTCTCTCCTCTTCTTGTTATATTCCAACATACTTCATCTGACCCTCTATAAAATATGACAGCTCTATAACATGAGGATTTAGCTCAAATGATGCTGCTTAGGATACTAGTTAAATGCTATTGAAACTGATGTACATTTCCTTTTTCTATGGTTAATTAGTTAAATCGTCTTCCGGTGAAGCTGAATTTGCTCACTTGTCAAGTTAAACCAAATGCGGATGACAAGAAGTGTTTTGATCTTATTTCACGTGAGTTCTGTTAAGTTCATCTCAGACTGGAGTCATTAACTAAGTATCATCCAGATATTTGACTTTATTTCTCACTAGTCTCAGTAAACATGGCAATGATTATGGGAATTGTTGCTCAAAGTATCTAAAATTCACCTGGTTGCTTGTTGCTGATGAAATGATTGTTAGATACTTGTAATTTATCTCATGAGTATCTTGTATCTGGGTAACCACCTTGTCTTCTCTTCCCTCTCCCCATTCAAATTGAAATCATACATCAGTTTAGCCATGCCATGCATCTGACAAAATGAACTGAAGTTCATGAAAACTTGTGTCTTTTAATATATATTTTTAATTATGGAAAAAGTGCTACCAGATCCTTCCTGGTTTTTGGCTACCATGGATAATATGGTTGTCATCCTACAATAATTTTTGTTAATGATTCCACTTCTTTACTTTCTTTATTTTACTTTCTTCAGTTGTGTCCATGTTTGCATATAAAAGGTAGCTTCATCACTGTTATTTTCTGGTTTGTTAAGTACAACCTTATTCTGTTTGCGTGTGTTTTTTCTTTTCAGATAATCGGACATATCACTTCCTGGCAGAGGATGAACAAGAATGTAATATGTAAGTACCAGAGAGGAAAAATGAGTGCCTTTTCACTGGATTTCTCTAAAGAGAATCTGAATAGACTTTTGACCTCTGGACTGAGAAAAGGTTTAACTCAAGCACCTGGCTGGTCCCTTTTAAGTCTAAGATTTTATTATTCTTTTCCTATTAATTGAAATCTTATTTTTGTTCTTTCAATTTTAATTTATTTATGGCAATAAGGCCCATATGATACTATGTGTTCAATTGTGTCCAGTTCTCAGTTATTCTATGGACTGGCGCTCTCTATATTTTCTGATTTACGCAGCTTCTTCCAGTTATGTTCTGGCTGGTGTTAGCTTTAATGGTGTCCAGCCACCAAATAGCTACAAAAGGTCCCAGTAGCAGGTTTCAAATATAATCTATTTTTTTCCATTAGATAAAACCTTTTAAGATTTATAATATTTTAAAAATATTACATAACACACTAAAAACCCAACTTACTGAGGTGTTACTAAAAACTCTGGTTTTATAGTTAGTTAAAAATCTGGCAGTGGCCTCTGTAATATTAGGGTTTTCATATGCAAGTAAAATTTTAACATATTCAGAAATATTTCTTCCTGTTTTTTATTTTAAAATAAGCCAGATAACTTCTTGCCAAAGACTCCTATAAAATTCACAGTACAATAAAATGTGACAAACTGTTTCAAGATCAATACCATTTACAAGGCCAAAATCTTTAAAAGATGGGGAGTTTTTGAAATATACCTTTTAGTTATTTTATGATATTTAATTTGGCTTTTGAAAATTGCCCTTCACAGATGCATGAAATGAATAAGTGGGGAGCATAAAACTATATATCTTTTTCCCATGTGAGGGAAGTGTTTCATCCATCAATTTCACCCAATCATGCTGACAGATCCATTTTTACCTTTCTCCATTTTTTAATGTGAAGGAAGCGATGTACACAGTGAGACTTTATAGATCCCTTTAATCTGTAGATCTTCTTAACAGGATGAAGGTATTCATTTATCTAATGACATTTTCTATATTACAGATGGATTTCTGTTTTGAGTAACAGTAAAGAAGAAGCTTTGAATGTAGCCTTCAAGCAAGCCCACGACAAGGACAGATACAACATGGAGAATCTGACGGGAGCAATCATTGAGGAAATAAAGCACATGCCAGGAAACAACATGTGCTGTGATTGCTCAACACCAGGTATAAAAAGAGATTGTTATTACTTTTCACTACATCTCTGAGAAACAATTTAGGATCTCAGGAAATGATTATGTTAAATTGTATAAAAGAATGATATAGCCCTTGTTATACAACATATATAGAGTGTGTGTGTCTTATTTCTTCTCTGGGAGCTGAAAAGGCAGTCTTTTTAATCAGTTCACATCAATCTAGTCAACAATTCTCACTATTTCCAATCACATAGCTGCTGGTTGTGCCAGCAGGGAATTTTAGAGAAGTAATCCAACATACCTGAAGGGTGCCAGACTGGGGAAGGCTTGAGTAATGGGTGATTTGAAAGCAGGCTTCTCACTCATCTGGTTGATTGTTATTTCCTATTTTGTTCATTTGGTTTCAAATTCTGAACATAATGTGGGTTTTTTGAGCTACTTTGCAACAGGCTTGATATATTTTTAAGTTCAGCAACAGGGGCAAAGTTACAAAACATGCTGGCATGGAGACAGAATATGAAAAAAAAATTGCATCAAAGCTTCACCGTACATTATGATTCTTTGTCATTGCACTAGCTGTGCATGCCTAGGGTTTCCTAGGAGGTCTGTGTTCAGCTTCATACAAATATGGCTTCTGAATCTCCACCATATCTCTCCTCAAGTCTTCAGTTTGAAGCTAACTTCATTGTCTGTCTTCATTGCTACCTGTCCTTAAAAAATTGGGAAAACCACAAACCATTATTTGCTTCATCCAGCCAACCAATTTGAGAATTTAAAAATGGCATTGCATAATTTCCCAAGATAAGAGTTAGTTCTGATAACAGTCCATGAAAAATAGTTATGCTTTGGCAGTAGATCTCACTGTTGCCAAAGTATTTCTCCTGAAGAAAGGAGGCTGGACCACTTGTTGCACAAGAATGCAAAAGAGACACAAACACATTTAAATTGTAATTCTCTAAAGAGGGTTTGATGTTGCAAAACAATTGCCTTTCCCCTTTGTTAAATAAAACATCTGCCCACTTCCTTGCACACAGACTGTTAAATGTGACTATAGTCTTTGTTTCCCCTTATTTTATTTTATTTTATTTTCTTTTTGTTTTGAACAAATTATTACATAGTAAACAATCTATCTCCACTATTAATATTTTAGGAAATACTATATCTTCACAATGTCAAAAATTGGGAACATTTCCTGTATCATTATTACCAGCAAGCTAGTACTATATCCCTATGCTTCCTCCCTACATAGATCCAGCATGGCTTTCCATTAATTTGGGGGTCCTAATTTGCATTGAATGTTCTGGGATTCACCGAGAGTTGGGTGTTCATCACTCCCGCATCCAATCATTAGCCTTGGACAAATTGGCCACCTCAGAGCTTCTGGTAAGAACAAATTTCATTCTGCACCATCACCATTCTTTCACAAGTTTACCATTGGAATAGATTTGATATGTTTCACTATGTTATAAAATCTGTGTGATATTCTTATTTCTTTTTGCAGTTGGCCAAAAATATTGGAAACTCACGATTTAATGACATAGTAGAAGCCAACCTTCCCAATTCATCTTCAAAGCCAACTAAAGACAGTGCAATGTAAGGAACATTCATTTTTTTTAATGATCATTAGAAGGGGATTGGGAGAGGGGGACAGAATTATTACAATTTCATAAAACAACATTTAAAACACTCAGAATATCAGTTGAACAAGTGGTTAAATCAATGTGAAGTTTGGCAATTTAAAAATAAATTGGAAAATAAAAATAAAAGCAACTGAGATTGCAGCAATTGTGTTACTTTTTTCTTATAAGAAGTTTCCTGCTGGTTCAGATTAAAAGGCCATGAAATCCAGTATCTTCTAGTGACTTTCATTTGCTTCTGGGAATACAACAAGGCTTGTAGGCACTAATCTTCTTTCCCTGTAAAGATAGATAGATAGATAGATGATAGATAGATAGATAGATAGATAGATAGATAGATAGATAGATAGAAGATAGATAGATAGATAGATAGATAGATAGATAGATAGATAGATAGATAGATAGATAGATAGATAAATTGTCACTGGTTATATAGAAGAAAACAAAAAAACAATAGGACAGTATAGTAGACTTTGGAGTCCTTTTGTGTTATCTGAGCTTGGTTGTTAGCCTGTAGACATTTCATTACTCAACTAGGTTTGCTCCCTTTTTATATACAATAGCTTGCCTGCCAGTGTTGGTAAAGGTATAGTTTTCTCTGTGGTAGCTCCTTGATTTCTGCTGGATTGCCGTGAAAAGCAAAAATCAACAATAGCATTGTGTTAATTTTCTCCAACAATAAACTATTTTTAAAACTGTCCAAATAGTCTGAGAATGCAGAAGAAGAATTGAACTTTGATATATGGAGAAGTGTTTGGTTTGAGAGTACAAGGAGGTTTTTTAAAATGATTTTATGGTTTGGGAATCTAGCAGATCATTATTGTGCACCATTTAAATCTGTAGTTTCTGACTTCCTGTTTGTACCATTATAGGACTCATCGGAAACATTTCATAATTTCGAAGTATGTTGATAGGAAGTATGTTATTCCAAGGATCATGAGGAGTCCGGTTGCCAAGCTCAAGAATTTGGAGATTGCTGTCAAAGAGAAGGATATATTTATTTTGCTTCAAGGATATGCAGAAAAAATGAATTTAAGCGAGCCTGTTTTGGAATTTAGCCAGGTGAGACTTCCTCCTGTTAAAAGTTGAGGGATATATGGACATTTTAGCAGAGATGATACATTAATATCAAAACATGGAACATGTACATTTTTATACAATCTTTTTATTGAAGCTTATAAGAAAACTTTGGTTTTTGAACTATGTGCTAGAAAAGATAATTGGCCTAAAGTGACTCAGCATTAATGTTCTGGTCTTTTTCTTCAGAACAGTGGCTTGCTCAATTAAAAAAAAACTCATTAATTTCCCTTTCCTTCTTCTGAGTCAAAACCCACAGAATGTCAGTGGAAAAAAACTAGAAAAAAATCTATTTTTCTAAATAATCAGCTTGTTTTTCTTTCTTGTTTCAAAGGAACCTAGAGAGACACTTCTTCATCTGGCAGTCCTACTTAGTGACCGAACCTCTTTGCATATTGTAGATTTTCTGGTGCAGAACAGGTGAGTTGATTTGATAGGCCTAACAGATTTAGCAAGTAGCAAATGTTCTCATGTTTTTTCACATGCATGCCAAATAAAGTGAGAGTACTAATAGACACCATGGGGTGAGATACCATCAACCTGCTGATGATACACAGCTTTACATCTCCACCTCTGGTGACCCAAATGACACTGTGGCTGCCCTTTTGGGGTGCCTTGAGACTGTGGGGGCCTGGATGGGGGATGCTTCAACTGAACCCTGGTAAGATGGAATGGCTGTGGGTATATGGAGCTTTAGGATCCAGACGTTTATCATCTTTAGTTCTGGATAGGATAACACTACCACAAATAGACTCGATGCAGAACTTGGGGTTTTTCCTAGACTCACAACTCCTGCTCAAAAAGCAGGTAGCAGTCATGGCTAGGAGAGTCTTCACACGACATTGTGAGGTACATCAATTGTGCTCTTTTCTGGACTGCGAGGTCCTGCATTCAGTCATCTCCTGTTTGGATTATTGTGACACGCTCTACATGGGCTATGCTTGAAGAGTATTCAAGTATTCAGAAACTACAATTGGTTCAGAATGGGGCAGCACAGACAGTTTTGGAGGTCCCTGTGGTGGCATAGGTAACACCACTTATGCAAATTGCACTGACTGCCAGTATGCTTCTGGGTGCAATTCAAGGTGGTTACTACCTTTAAAACTCTTTATTGCGTGGATCTTAAGATAACTGTAGAACCATCTTTCCCCCATGGGAAAGGCCCGCTCCATTCGTGCTAGCAGAAGGGGCAGATCTCATCAATCAAGGAATTTTGGCTAGTGGGATCCAGAAGAAGAATCTTTTCTGCCACAGCCCATGCCCTTTAGAATATCTTGCCACAGGAGGTAAGATCTGCTCCTCTCTTTTAGCTTTCAGGAAAAGTCTAAAAACCTGGTCTTGCCAGTTGGCATGGGATCCTGAAGGAGAAGCTATTGGCTGGAGGTGGTTGGTGCACTAATAGAGAAGGCACCCTTACCTCTTGTTTTTTTAGTTTGTTTTAATTTTTGTAACTTTAATCCATTTTTTATATTTATAATTGTTGAATGTGTGTTTTATCTTGTCATAAGCCACTCAGAGATAGATCCCAAATAAATGAGATGGATTCAAAATAAATTTGATCAATCAATCAATCGTGGTTCCATAAGTGGAGGATTTTTGTTTGACAAATAATATTTCTCTTCTAGTGGGAGCCTGCTGAAACAGACATCCAAGGGAAATACTCCCCTTCATTATTGTAGCCTTCATAATAAACCTGAATGCATAAAACTCCTTCTGCGAGCAAAAGCCAACATCACAATCAGTAAGTGGTCATGAAATAAAATTAGGGTTCTGAATGAGAAGGCAAAATGTCAGTCTATTTCACCATAGCGTTACAATATGTATAGTGAATACAGGTAGTCCTACAACCACAATTTGAACTCAAAATTTATGTTGCTAGATGAAACATTTGTTAAGTGAGTTTGCCCCATTTTACAACCTTTCTTCCCACAGTTGTTAAGTGAACCATTGTATTACAGCGTTTGCAACGTGACTGCTATTGTGAGATAACCCAGGAGCAAAACCCAGTACACAGAGACTTAAACATTTAACAGTGGTTTATCTACAAAAGTTACACACAGAAATATATGTGGTAGGCAAATACTTTATGTTGTGAATCAATAAAAGTGAATAACCTAAATGCAAATTAGGGGTTGAAAACCTGCACACTTGATTGGTCCTTATACAACAACTTGGGATTGGGCCAGAACCAGTCCCTGATTGGCCACTTTTGGGACTGTCCTTATTGGTCAGTAGTTGAAACCTGTTGCACATTTTCATTGGTTAATAAGGCAGCAGCTAACCCTATAAAAGGGTTACTGCTGCCCATAGCATTGCTCTGTTCCATTCTGATTCCTGTTATTATTAAAGAGTTGAAGTCACTGGTCAGATGTCTGGTCTCCTTATTCCCCAAACTTAACACTTTACAAGTAATCAAATTTCTTCTTAACTCTACACTGAGAACTCTACAATGAATACGGGACACAAGGATAGAGAACCCAACCCCAGTTTAAAGGGAAATACCCATGCTATGCTGATTCATTCTTACTGCATCAGCCACATCCGGTCAGCTTCACTGCTGGTTGGCTCTTAAATCCCAAGACCTTAACACATTGCATTTGTTAAGTTAGTAACATGGTTGTTAAGTGAATCTGGGTTCCCCATTGACTATGCTTGTCAGAAGGTCGCAAAAACTGATCACATGACCTTTCTTTTCTTTTTCCTTTTTCCTTCCTCTATCTCTTCTGTAATTTTTTTATTTTAGGTTTACCTAGTAATAATGGATGAACGTTCAGTTTTAGAAAACATAATTTAAAATTTGTATCTCAGTAAATTTTATTTTAATACTGCATACCTGAATCCTCATTAATGTTACTGCATTGGCTTAGTTCTTTTCAGGACAGTATTTAATGGCAAGACATTTAAGAATTGTTAATTTTACCCATTCAGTCATGTCCAACTCTTGGCAACTTTATAGGCAAGTGCTCTTAATTAAAAATAATTACTAAATTCCATAGAAACATAATTACTACATTCCATAGAACCACGGGAGAGAACAGCATTCTGCAGTGACTAGGCATGTTGTTTTAGGTGAATATTCATATCTGTCAAACCCAACAGTTAGTAATTTGATTGGTGGCTAAACATGCTGTTCCAGGCATATGCCTACACTCGTCTAAGCCAATAGGTGCCAGGGCAAGGCAGCACTCCGGAGCATAAGCACAAGAGCCAAGGACAAAGCTTGAATAGGAAAATTGCTTTTATAATTGATAAGAAAATAGCCATATTAACAAAGAAAATCAGCTATTAGATATTTAGATGTAGTAGGTAATACGCATCAGATATAGGGGTTGAAGTCCTGCATCTTTTTATCCTGCCTTTACTTGGTTTTGGACAATGTGCCATTCTTATTATGACTTCAGATGTAGAAGACATCGGCATGGGAGTTTGATAATGGTTCTATCTGGCTTCAGGCTCTTTTGTTTCCAGTCCTGACAACTACAGTCTTTGCAGGCTGAGTAACTGGTGGTTTTTTTTTCTCTCTCCAGTGAGATGGAAAACAAAGGCAGGGAAATTCACCAGTCATTGCCTTAACAGGCCACATTAAATCTCCTTCTGTGGCAGAATAGAAATTGGCATTCAAAGCAGCAAATTTTATGCTGGCTTGGCATACTTTACTGCTGGAGAATAGCACTTTAATATTTTGCTCTTAATACATGCATTTATCAGAAGCTTACAGTTTCACTACATTTTGCAATTTATCGTGATAAAACAAATCTATCTTCTCTACAGTCATGAGCAATTCACATCCCCTTTCCTTCTTTGATGCAACTGTAAAAAGAAATTAGAAGGTTTCATGTCTAAGATTGATTAACCATAGTTTAGCAATATGTTCATAGGATAGAGTCTAACTGATCTTCTAATTATGGCTCCCATGAACTGGCAAGGAGTCATGTAACTGTAGATATAACAGTTACATTTTGGTTGTTCTTCTACTTAAGAAAAATATTAGAACATTTTTAACACCATAGTATCAATCCCAACCAGTCATTCTGAGAGAATTTATTCTCAAATGACGCAGATCCTTCTCTCGTATAAAACCTGTAGTTGTGAAAACAATAGAGCAGTTTCCATTGCATATTTTATATTTTATTGTACACAACATTTAAATTTACATAGCATTAGCTCTTACATTAATTGTTTCTGTATGTAACTTGGAGAATCACTTAAGAATTAATATTTTAAAAAATTGTGTTTAAAATAGAGCAACTTTATATGCTGCAGTCCAATTGGTTTATTTCCAACAACATTTAGGCACCAGAGGTCTTATTCTAACGTAACAAAGGTTAATTAAAAGCAAAAGAAAGTAAAATTTATTTCCATCACAATGCTCTGAGTTAACATAATGCCTAATACTGACATTTTTATACTGTTCTCCATTTCACCTGAATCATCAAAACCATATAGTAGTGTAGTGTTTCAGTATGGCTTAGCCCCAGAGGTGGTATTCAGCAGGTTCTGACCAGTTCTGGAGAACCGGTAGCGGAAATTTTGAGTAATTCGGAGAACCAGCAAATACCACCTCTGACTGGCCCCACCCCCATCTATTCTCTGCCTCCTGAGTCCCAGCTGATCGGCTGGGTCTTCTTTTGTTGCCCTGCACAGGAGAACAGAACTGGAAAGAAGGTTAGTGGGGTGGAGAGGGAATGGGATTTTGCAGTAATGTTCCCCCAGGAATGGGGACGGAATGGAGATTTTACAGTATCCTTCCCCTGCCATGCCAACTAAACCATGCCACACCCACCAAGCCACGCCCACAGAACCGGTAGTAAAAAAAGTTGAATCCCACCACTGCTTAGTCCCCAGGATGAGGGATGCTCAAACATGAATTTTCCTACACCATGTATTTTCCTTTTAGGGGAACTTTGCTCATACTTCCTGATTTCTTCCACTTTACCTGCTTAATCCAGAGTAGCATTTTCTAGTAGTAGAAAATGCTTTTTGTTCTGTACAAGTCAATTTACATACTCGTAGCCCCGCGTCGCGATTGGTTAAAGCGCGGGGCGACCGGATTGGTCGAGCGAGCCGCACTGATTGGCCCGTTGCGAATCCCCCGCGATTGGTGGAAACTAATCGCGGGAGATTCGAAGCGGTGTCATTGGCCGCGGCCGCCGCGGCTCGGAAATAAAAAGCCGCGGTTTTCCCCTTCAAGCTTAAGCTATTTCAGGAGCCAATAAAGAGCTGAAACCAAGTCACTGACTCCGAGCTTCCTTTCTCGACGGACACAACACTGGCGACGAAGGTGGGATACAGAGGATAACCACCGAGCACGTGTCCCGAGGAAGACAAAGACCGACGAGATGGCCAGCATGACCCCACCAGCACCCTTCAACCCCGCTACCGAGGACTGGGAATCGTACACGGATAGATTCCTGATGTTCCTCGAAAGTAGCAATTTGAAGGATGCGAACGGGCAGAAGAAAAGGGCCGTCTTCCTCACACACTGCGGGCCCGCAGTGTTCAAGATGGCCAAAGCCCTCGCGAAGCCCGAGGACGTGAAGGCGATGGACTGGGCCGATCTCGAGCCACTCCTTCGGAACCACTACGCCCCCGCTGTGCCCATCCTCATCCGGCGGGATGAGTTCTATCGGCGAAACCAGCGGCAGGACGAGAGCATTAGCGACTTTATAGCCGCCTTGCGAGACCTAGGGGGGATGTGCGAGTTCAGGGACCTGGACGATATCCTCCGAGACCGCGTGGTCCTAGGCCTCAGGGATCAGGCACTAAAAAGTCGACTGATGGCGAAAGGCAACATCGACCTCGGGGACGCCCTGGCCGAAGCTTCCGCAGCCGAAGCCACCCAGAAGTCAGCAGCCAGACTTCGGAGGGCAGACAACGGGGACCACACTGAAAACCCCGAAACAAGCCGACGAGAAACCACCACACACCACGGGGACCTGGACTCCGCCTCCGAGACCACGGACGAGGAGGAAGACGTCCACCGACTACAAACAGGACGGGACCGGCGAGATCAACGGGGTCGTAAGTCGGGGAACCAGTGCGCCGGGTGCGGGGGAAATCACCTTCGATCAGAGTGCCGTTTTATCGACGCGATCTGCCGGCATTGCAACAAGAAGGGCCACATCGCCCGAGTCTGCCGACTCAAAAAGACACACAGCCCCCGCCGGCGAGAACCAAGCAACCGGGGACGAGACGACACCCCCCCGAGAACCAGAGATCGCCAAGCCGACTATCGCTGGAACCGAGACAACCGAGGACGGCGGAGCGGGGAAGGCCGCCAGAGAGAAGAAACCCACCAGACGGTCACCATCGGCCATGCCGAAACCACGGATGCCCGGAAGGTCTACGTGGAGGTGAGCATCGAGGGCGAGCCATGCCGGATGGAGGTAGACTCCGGATCCTACCTCTCCATGGTCGCCTGGAAAGAACTCAAGCGCCTGGTGCCGAACATCCAGAAAAGAGGACTGGAGAACCAGAAGCTGATCATCAAGGACTATCAGGGGAACCGCATCCCCGTCATTGGGACCGGACAGTTCGAGGTGACGTTCAAAAACCGCACCGCGAAACTTCCCCTGACTATCGTGGACCGGAACCGACCCAGCCTCTTAGGACTCCAATGGTTCGCGCCACTCGGGATCGAGGTCACGGGAGTAAACCACACCACAGAGGCCGACTGGGAGCAGCAGCTGGCGAGGGACTTCCAAGAAGTATTCGACGGCACCCTAGGCAAGTACAAAGGGCCCCCTATCTCTTTTAGCCTAGACCCAAATGTCGCCCCCATACGCCTAAAACCCAGACGGGTGCCTTTTGCACTCCGGAAGAAAATAGACGAGCAGATTGACAAGCTCGTCAAACAGGGGGTTTTGCAGCCAATCGACCACGCCCGGTGGGAGACCCCTATAGTCACCCCAGTCAAACCAGATGGGTCAGTAAGGATCTGCGGGGACTATAAGGCCACCCTCAATTGCGCCCTGCAACAAAGCGCCTACCCCGTCCCAGTAGTGCAACACCTATTACACTCGCTGGGGGGGGGCAAGGTCTTTGCGAAGCTCGACCTGGCGCAAGCATATCAGCAACTGCCGGTCGATGAAGAAACCGCCGAGGCGCAAACAATAGTCACCCACCGGGGAGCGTTTCGTTGTAACCGACTCCAGTTTGGAGTCAGCGTAGCCCCAGGAATTTTCCAGAGCCTCATGGAGAGACTGCTGCGAGGAATCAAGGGGGTGGTTCCCTATTTTGACGATGTATTGGTGTCAGCAGCCAACCAGGAGGAACTAGAGGGTCGCCTAAGGGAGGTACTAGAAAAATTCAAAGGGGCCGGGCTAAAGGTGAAGAAAGAGAAATGCCAGCTATACACAGAGCAAGTCGAGTTTCTGGGGTACCTCCTAGACCGACATGGCATCCACCCAACCGGAAGCAAGGTCAAAGCCATAAAGGAAGCCCCCACACCCAAGAACAAAACAGAGCTGCAGGCATTTCTGGGACTGCTAAATTTTTACAATGTGTTCTTGCCCCAAAAGGCGACCGCGGCGGAGCCTTTGCATAGGCTCCTGGACAGGACGGCCAAATGGACCTGGGGGAAACGGGAGGACACCGCATTCAAGAATACCAAAGACCTGCTCACCTCGGATGCCGTTCTCATTCAGTATAATGAGACCCTACCCATCGCCGTCACATGCGACGCCTCACCATTTGGCGTCGGCGCCGTCCTCAGCCATACACTCCCAGACGGAAAAGAAGCACCCATCGCTTTCTTTTCAAGAACACTCAGCAAACCCGAAAGAAACTACAGCCAATTAGATAAGGAGGCACTGGCCATCGTCGCAGCAGTAAAGAAGTTCCACGAGTACCTCTACGGCCGCCGATTCACCCTCATCACGGACCACAAGCCGCTGCTGGGCATCCTGGCGGGGAACAAGGCCACCCCGAACATCCTATCCCCCAGGATGACAAGGTGGTCTGAGTTCCTCGCCGCCTACGACTACCGGCTCACACACAGACCCGGTAAGACGATCTCCCATGCAGACGCGTTGAGCCGCTCGCCGCTTCCCGACCTAGACGATGATCCAGCTCCCACGACGGCCACCCTCAGCATAGAGACATTGCCGGACCTACCCATAACCGCGTCAGACATTGCCCGAGAGACTAATAAAGACAAGCGTCTGGCGCGGGTATTACATTGGGTAGAAAAGGGATGGCCAGAGAAAGACAACGATGAAGCATTCAGGACATTCCGAAACCGGCAAACAGAACTGTCACTACAGAAAGGTTGTTTGCTATGGGGGGACAGGGTGGTCATACCAGAAAAACTGCAAGGGAAGGTATTAAAATTATTACACGAAGGGCACCCGGGGATTGTGAGGACTAAAGCTTTGGCCAGAAGCTATGCTTGGTGGCCAGGTATGGACAAGGAGATCGAGGCCTGGGTAGCCAAGTGCTCGCGCTGCCAAGAAACCAGACCAAATCCCCCCGCAGCACCAATATTAGAATGGGAAACGCCCAGGGGACCATGGTCGAGACTCCATATAGATTTTGCCGGGCCCACAAAAGGGAACACATTCCTCATCACGGTGGATGCTTACTCCAACTGGCTGGAGGTAAGCAACATGAAGACCACCACAACAGATGCGGTAACCAAGGTCTTAAACAAACTCTTCGCAACCCACGGTCTCCCGGATGTCATCGTGTCAGACAACGGACCCCAGTTCACCTCGCTGGAATTCGAAAGATTCCTAGCGGAACGAGGCATACGACACGCACTGACAGCGACGGCGCATCCGGCGGCCAATGGTAGGGCAGAACGGATGGTTCAATTTACAAAAAGAACCCTCCAAAAGATCGAACACGGGGACATACAAGAAAAAATAAATAAAATGCTCCTAATACAACATATCACCCCAAACACAACGACTAACAAAAGCCCGGCAGAATTACTAATGGGGAGAAAACTAAGGTCACCACTCGACAGACTACACCCCACATACAACCCGGAAAAACCCCCGGACTCATCTAGCAAGCACCGGGTTTTTGCACCAGGCGACGCAGTCTATGCAAGAAACCTTACCGGAGACCCACTATGGGTACCGGCAACTATAACCCAACTGACAGGACCCCACTCCTACCGGTTACAGACAACCGACGGACAAACATGGAAACGCCACATCGATCAAATAAGATCAAGAACAAAAAACACAACCGACACGCAACCAAACACAGACGACCCCGATAACACAAACCAAGAGGGGAGGGAAGATACAGGGGATCAAATAGGAAATAACCAGCAATACTCACCAGCCAACAGCCAGCCCGAAGTCTCACCAGGAAGGAACAGCCAGGCCAGCTCAACCAGCCCGGAAAGACCAGGCAGGAGCGGCGAAAGTCGCAGCTCGACCAACCCGGGTAGACCGGGAGGGAGCTGCAACAAGAGGCCCAGCGACACCTTCCAGGGGGTTCCATCAACAGGGCCAAGAGAAACAGAAGTCCCGACCGAACCGGCCGGGAACCAAACAACAACTAAGCTGCGCAAGTCAAGTAGACAAGTACGAAGCCCCGCCTACCTACGGGACTACGTTACGTAGGACCGAACCAAGAGGGGAGGGGTGTTCTGTACAAGTCAATTTACATACTCGTAGCCCCGCGTCGCGATTGGTTAAAGCGCGGGGCGACCGGATTGGTCGAGCGAGCCGCACTGATTGGCCCGTTGCGAATCCCCCGCGATTGGTGGAAACTAATCGCGGGAGATTCGAAGCGGTGTCATTGGCCGCGGCCGCCGCGGCTCGGAAATAAAAAGCCGCGGTTTTCCCCTTCAAGCTTAAGCTATTTCAGGAGCCAATAAAGAGCTGAAACCAAGTCACTGACTCCGAGCTTCCTTTCTCGACGGACACAACACTTTTCACAAAGGTTCCAGGTGAGGCAATTGTCAGAGCACAGCATCAGTGTTTTATATATTGCTTCCTTGTCTTTTTCAGCTCTCTCTCTCTTTCAGGAATCCCTCCAGAGAGGGAGTCAAAAAGTTAATATGGGGGCCGTATCCATGTGATTGAAGCCCTACCCTTTTTTTGTGAGCATAATACATGGAAAAATGGGCAGGGCTTTGATTGCATGATTGTGGCTTCTATATTGACTTTTTTTGACCTACCTACAGTCTTGCACTGCTGTTCTTGCTTTGCGTATAGATGATGGTAAAAAAAAAAGTAATATTTCAGCCATGCTAAACAAACAGTGTGAAAACAATCCTTTGTTAGGAAAGAAGTTACAAACTAGAAATACAAATGCACTCAGCCACAATCTTTTAAATGTTGTTCTGAGGACCTTTCTGACCAGTAAGTCCTTTTTGTCTGGATTTAAACACCATCTTCAAAATGTGGTTGACAATATGATTTATATAAGTGGAGTCAAGTCTATGAACAATTACTTTAATTATTATTCATTTGGTGACATGTGATATTTTCCCACAGCTAATGAAGCTGGAGAGACAGCCCTTGATATTGCTAGCCTACTGAATCATACTACATGTAAAGATCTGGTAAGCCACAGCAGATTCAACACAAATGTCTGACGTTGTCCCAAAGCCTTGACAAGAGCTGTCTGGATAATGTGCTCCAGACATAGCAATAGGCAGTATGTTTTCAAAATACAAAGTATGTTCAAACTATTATAGCTCTGCTGTACATGTGCCTTTTTTTCCTGCAGCTTTTATCATAATATCTTCTCTAGTAGGTGTTCAGTTTTATTTAGCATAGCACTTAACTGAAAATTATAAGAGCAGAACCATGTTGAGTCAAAATAAAGGCTGAAATATATTGATTCAATATATTAAAGTGTTTCTGTTTTTATATGATTTATGTGCATGATCATCCTCTACTCGTTGTAGAATACCTTATGCCACCAGACTTGAAATTCTAGAACTAGAAAACCTTGAATTACGCCGTCTTCGGTCTGACTTAAGCATGGTATATAAAATCATACATTGCAATGTCCTACCTGTCAATGAATACTTCAGCTTCAACCATAACAACACAAGAGCACACAATAGATACAAACTCAAAGTAAACCGCACCAAACTTGATTGCAGGAAATACGACTTCAGCAATAGAGTGGTCAATGTCTGGAATACTCTACCCGACTCTGTAGTTTCTTCCCCAAACCCCAAAAACTTTAACCTTAGACTGTCTACTATTGACCTCACCCCTTTCCTAAGAGGTCTGTAGGGGGCGTGCATAAGCGCACCAACGTGCCTACCGTCCCTGTCCTATTGTTTCTCTTATTCTTTTATTTTTCTTATATGTACCCATTTCATGTATTCACAACTATGTATACATTTATACTTATTATCTTGTAAACAATTGGCAAATCAAATAAATAAATAAATAAATAAATAAATAAATAAATCCTTCCAGAGAATCTAATCTCCATTGTTGGGGTGATAATTTCTCACCTTGGGGTCAAGTTCTTGCTCTCTCCATCTGTCTAAACACAATCTCCACACCCAATGAAATGGATGCATGGTGCTGTTGCATACACAAAGTACTTGTGAAAAGCTTCTGTAGCCTTGGTACCCTCCAGTACAACAGATGGATCTGAACTGCAGGAAGATAATACTGTATGTTACGACATCCTTTAACATCTAGTGGGCAAACCATCTCACTGTGCTCAATTTCCAAACCATCTCATTGTGCTCCATTCTATCAATATTCATAAAAGTCCGAGGGGAATATAAAATATGCACGCACACCAAAAAAAAATAAGTTTAGTAAGGTTCAGAGGTCTGTTTTGCATTTTGCACGAATTTAATATATCCCTGGATTGTTGAGGTTCTCACGCCAATTACCAATTCATGAAATGTCGCTTGGAATTAGCAAATCTCTTTCATTCCCTTGCTTAGGAGGAAAATGCTTAATAGAGGCTGCATGAATTTTGCAAATTATGCTCGACTGGACGCTGATTAATAGAAAGTTGTAGATGAAGCTTTGAAAATTTCGAGGTAGGAATCACTCCTGGGTGCTGCTTACGTCTCAATGAAGAGATGTAAAAAGGCAAAGGAGATGTTTCATTTTTTTTTCCTTTTTCCTCTTTTAAATGTAGTTTCTTTTGGTCTTAATTGATGTTCACGCTGAAGATAAAACTGGACCTTGTTATGGGAGGGAAAGGATGACTTCTCTGTCATTATCTCAAGACAGATAAGAGGCTCAGCCAAACTGAAATTGCCTAGATTAAATTGGAAACCGATTTTTCCCCCTCCTGAAGCACTTTTATGTTAAATGGTTAAAATCAGTGATGCTGGGGGAAAAAATATTCCCCAACCTGAATGATAGCAAGCAAAGCAATAGCGCTTAGACTTATACACCACTTCACAGTGCTTTTACAGCTCTCTCTAAGCGGTTTACAGAGTCAGCCTCTTGCCCCCCCACCCAACAATCTGGGTCCTCATTTTACCGACCTCAGAAGGTTGAAAGTCTGAATCAACCTTGAGCCAGTCAGGATTGAACTCCTGGCAGTGGGCCTGAAATACTGAATTCTAACCACAAGGAAGGAAGGAAGGAAGGAAGGAAGGAAGGAAGGAAGGAAGGAAGGAAGGAAGGAAGGAAGGAAGGAAGGAATAGCAATAGTACTTAGACTTCTATATCACTTCAGGGTGCTTTTACAGCCCTCTCTAGCGTTTTACAGAGTCAGCCTCTTGCCCGCAACATTCTGGGTCCTCATTTTACCAACCTTGGAAGGATGGAAGGCTGAGTCAA